TTCCCTTACTTAATGTCAAGCCAGGGAAATTGGGAAGACATAATGGTTTTTGTAAATGGAAATGGGAAAAAAATCAACTCATCAGTATTTCCCAGAATGATTTTGAAATGTAGGTACTTATAAAGTGAACTGAAAATATTTGCTTGGAAGAGCAAATGAATACAGACAGCACTTAGGAGCTTAAATGATGAAAAGAATTCATATGGCTTAAAAATGACAAATCGATCCATTTTAAAGCAAAATTATTTACAGTTCACTTATTTGCCAAGAGTGAAGGCTACTGCAGCGATTTACATGGACAACAGGAAAAACTCCAAGTGCTGATGAGGTATTAAGCCAATGTCATTAAAGGTTGTATGAAAATCAGACACTCAAATCCAAGCCAATGCAGAGAATAGTCCTTTTCGTTTGTTTCTTTTATCATTTATGGGTCTAAGTCAAACAATTTCTTCCAAAAAGGTGGGTGAGAGGAGTTAATAGAGAAGAAAAGGCAGGAACTGACTGGATATGAAAATGGATTCTGGTTCACTCTGCATGTTTTAAAGGAATGTAATGCAATGGCAAAGTTCATCTTCCAGGGCCCCAAAAGGCAGAGAATGGGAGTTGCCATGGGAAGAGAAAGGTAAGGAGACTAACTTAAGTGATCCTATTCCTTCACCCATCTTCTACTCTCACTGCTTCTTCTTGCAGGCTGTGGAAGCTTTGATGGGATCAATCATCATGCTGGCTGTCGTACAAGTGGCATTAGGGAAAAGGAAGACAGATGCCACACAACTGGGTGAGTCTGAGAAAGAGGCAGGGTACATAAAACTGAATGATCTAGGCCAGGGTCACTCAGTGTGCACATTATCTAAGAGGAGTCTCTCCTCACATCTCTTAATGGCTTGTCTTCAGTAATTTCCTTTAGCATCTCTTGCAGGAGAAAGGCACAGAAAGGATAGTGGGGAAAAAAGACTATCACTATGGCTACGCTTCAGGCAGCTTGCTCTGTCTGCTGTAAAGAGACTGCCTCTTCAGCGTGGATGGGCACTGGATGCTTTGCCCACCATCCAGGGTCCTCTCTATATAAAAGTTTTGTAGATTTTTTTTTTTTTTTTTTTTTTTTTAGTAAACAGGAAAATCTTGTCTCTTTAGCGAATATGACACATTTTCTTGCAACTGACAATAATAGCTAAGTAAAGAATGTGGTTTCCTATGTTGCCTAGGCTGCTGGGAAACTCCAAAGTACTCCACAGCTCAATCACAGCACTTATTCAATTGTGGGTGTTGGCACTGTATGGTGACTTACAGGTTATTATAATTAAGAGCAGAATGATTACATTACATGTGTTCTTGGTTCCATGTTATATTTCTGCTTTATTAATGCTCATCACAATTTAATCTGCATGAGCTGAGGAACTTTGTAGATCTGCCTGTTGATGTGGTTATTGTTCTCCTTCCCCATTTCCATGAGGGCAGGGATGCTTTCTGATTAATTCTTACCGAATATTGGTACTGGGCCTGGCACACAGAAAACAATAAATACTTATTGATGAAATGACTGCATAAACATTTTGGAAATTTGTGACAATGAATCTTTTTTTTGCAAGGAGCAATCAATAAATGGTTTGTTGGCAAACTGCAAGAAGAGAGGTGCCATGGTCTTATTTATTATATCCAGTGCCTCACACCACACCTGACATTTAATGGGTTCTAAATACTAGTTTGCTGAACAATGGATGAATGAATGGATGAAAGATGAATATGTAGGTGGAGGAATAGAGGGATAAATGGAAGATGATAGCTAGGTGCAGTGGCGCATGCCTGTAATCCCAGCACGCTGGAAGGCCAAGACAGGAGGAGCACTTGAGATTAGCCTTGGCAAGATGGTAAGACCCCTGACTCTACAAAAAAATATATAAAAATTAGCCAGGCATGGTGGTGCCTACCTATAATCCCAGCTACTTGGAAGGCTAAGGCGAGAGACTGCTTGAGCCAGGAGTTTGAGGCTGTAGTTAGATATGACTGTGCCACTGCACTCCAGCCTAGATGACAAAGTGTGACCCCATCTCAAAAAAGAGGGGGGCAGCTGAAGGGAGAATAGTTGGGAAATGAATTCATAGGAAAGCAGGTGGATACGGACTTAAAATTTAGGGTTTGGTGTGATATTTAGAGTTTTAAATTCTCACACACAAGATCCTTGCAGGTGATTTAGACTGAGTCTCAGTTAAATGAGTTTTCAGTCAGGATGATTAAGTTGGGCTACAGAATCAGCTTCCCAGAGAGGTCTAAAACCTGACAGAAAATATGTCTTATTTTTGTCTCTGCTATTTGGCAGAAAAATCCCTGATATTATTAAAGTCCAGGTATTAAATTAATAAAATTTTATTAAGATACTGCCATTGTCCCCAGTGAGTATATAAACCACAATTTCAACATTTAAACTAAATCTTGCAGGTGAAATTGCTTATTAAGAGTAAGCTACAGGGACTATCCAGGAGAAGAAACAAGATAAAAAAAGATAAGTCCTTCCTTTCTAATAAAAACCCAACTACTTAATTATTGAAAACCTTTTTTTTTTTTTTAAAAAAAAAAAAGGGGGGGGGAGGATGAGGGCAAAAGGAAGCTGCCAGTCACATTAGCAAGCCAACATTGTCAGGAGCCTCTAATAAAATAAACAAAACAACAATACAATTGTCCTGGGTTAAGACCACTGTGCACATATGCAGAGAGCTATTGCCAAATCTAAATGAGTCACAGCAAGGCACAATCAGTGTGCTTTTAATTATGTATCCTGCCTAATTTACCTTATCTGTCATTACCTGAATGGTTTTCCAGTACCAGGACATCCAGCTTCCCCCTGAATTCCCTCTTGACCCCACCAGAAAAAATCCACAATCATCTGTCTCCCTGGCAGGACATCATCAACGTTCAAACTGGGAAAGGGAAACTGCTTTCAACCCACCTGTACAGAACTCTCACTGATCACAGATGTTAGCAGCGCTTTACATCCAACAACAGACCTTGGCCGACAGCTCTCAAATTTTGTACAGCAGCTGCCAGTGTGTGCCAGCAATGCTGTGAAAATCCTCATCCCTATCCTGGCACAGAAATCAGGTAAGGACAAGCCCCAAGCTGGGGGCTTATTCTTTTCTAACCCAGCAACACATCACTCTCTTAGCCTGTGGTAATTAAGAGCCAGCAGACTATGGGCAAAGCAGTTGAGAGCTTCTTTCTTAGGAATACAGCCCGAGTAATTGGCTTGCTGCTTGCTAATGACATGGCTTCTGCAAAAATTAACTGTCATAGGGAATTCTCTTAACTGACTTGGCAAATGCAGGTTCAATACCTGTTTGATAGGCTTTGAGTTCACCAGGTAATTCCAAAACACTTGGGGGAAGAAGAAACGCAAATGAATTACACAAATCCTTTTGCACACTAAATTTAAATGGAATGCAAAATGGAAAAGAACACCTTGCTACACCTGATGTCATGCTACCTGTGCAAAACTGTTTCCCTCAGCACACTCCTGGTTAAGACTCCACACCATGTGAAGTGTGTAAAATAAGCCCATGTATCAACATAGCATGGCTGGGGTGGGGAAGAAAAAAGGATGGTTCATGCTAACTCAAGCTTATGAGACATATCTTCTGGATTTCCTTCCATTTTTCTGAAGGTGGATGGGTTACTGGCTATGACCCAGGGATGGAGAGACACACATGCGCACATGCACACACTTTGGCATCTCTGTGGTTCCAGTGTGGGCACCAACGAGCACTTTTCTGCCTGGACATTAACACAAACTGACAAGGAAACCAGCCCTGAAGTCAATGTTCCAATCACCGCGGCACTATGCCATCGGAATCACATCAATTATTGCTGCTTTTTCTTCTTTGGAGAACTTAGGAGTAAGGTTTAAAAATGCAGGAAGCTCCCTCTCTCATCTCCTTAATAAACTTCTGCCTCGTGCTGCCAGGCTTGGAGACAGGTGGAAAGAATTCAGCTGCAGTGCCATAAGCTGCAAAGTTTTAAAGGTTCTCCCTCCCTGGATGGCAGGAGGCTATAAATTTTCCTACCCCCAAATTTTCTAAACCACCTGGAAACATCCCTCTTTATCCTAATAGTAATGAATTGGGAAGCCCCTTCCACCCAGATCAATTTCACAGGCATTGGAGTTCCAGATTTTGAGTTAAGCAGCATTTTAATTTGTCACTAGTGCCCCTGGAGCAGAAACCCATACCACCAAGCAAAACACAATAGCCTCTAAGCTATTAGCTAACATGTCAACTAGCTAATGCATCTTCAGGAAAACCAGATTAGAAAGGACAGCAAAACATTGATTTTTTTTTTTTTTTTTTTTTTTTTTTTTTTTAAAGAATCCTATACCTGCAGCATAATGCTGCTAAAGCTGGCAAAACAACAAAGGACATTCCACAGCAAGGAAATGTCTTATTCTCAGTGCTGGGGCAGTGAACATTGTTCCATCTGAGCATGGTCATATATATGGGGCAGAGCAATTCTTCCTTAAACCTACAGGCTTTTTATTTTGTAAATAATTCATCCTCCAGTGCCTAAGAAAGCTGAGGGAGAGAATGGGTAGACATGTGAACAGCTGGGAACACCAGTTGAGAGCAATGCTACTCACGGAGCAGGTGAAGCTTTCTCTCTTTTTCTCTCCTTCCAAATGAAACAATAGCATTTGTATCAAGTTAAAACGGCTAAGAAACTCATCCCTTTGAAGGAGAGTGTGGATGTATTTGTATAGAGAAGATTCCAAACATCCATTCTTTATCCTGGCTCCTGCAGCCTGCCCACAAATCACTATACAGTTAAAGACAAGCCCAAATACCTTCTATAACAAACAGATTCCCAGAACTTAAGAAAATGAGCCCCGGCTCCTGTCACCATCCACTCTAAAACACATTTAGTGAAGTGAAGCCACACAGCGTACCCCTCCCACCTCCAGCCCCCCACCACCCACCCCAGCCCCAACAAGCACCAAGTAACTGACAAGTCCTTACCGACTTTGGGCTCTTCTTGGGAACTGGCAGTCCTGGAAAAAATGCAACAAGGAGGGGGGGGGGGAAGAAATCATTAGCATACAAATGTTACCTTTTCCTTAAAGAACAATCCCCAGGTGTTCCATGGCAACCTAGCCATCTGCAGAGTTATGTCAGATTTCTCCCCAGCATCGGAGTTACCAGGCTGTTCATATCGAATCAAAGCAGAGGGAGGAGGAGAGCGAGAGGCAGGAGATCTATCTGCATTAGCTATGCTGACTTGTACTGCAGCAGCCTGGAGGCTGGGAAAAGAAATTCACAGACCTCAGCGGCCTGGGAAATTGAACACTTGGACAGAATCTCAAATGCTCTTCTGGATTAAGAGAGACTTAACTTACAATTAAGTCCGGGATATTTCCTTTCCACACGATCCACTTGTCAATTGAAACGGACCAATCAGGACAGAGGAAAGGGTATATATTTAGTTTCAAAGGAGTACATGGTTAAAATTAAAAATTTTTTTTGGTCTTTTCTTTTTTTTCCCTCTGCCTTACAGGAGAGGAAATGCTTTCTTTATTTGGATGAGCTCAATACCAAAACAAAGACGGATGCTCTTTTGCCAACACAGAATGCTAACAAATGAACACAAATCCAAGTTGGTCTAGGGTCCTCTCTGGATCATCAGCACATGTCTGTCTCGATGTCTGCCAGCCATCCAAGCAACCTCCTACTCACGGCTTGCTGGAAAGGACTGGGAGCTGGACTAGCCCCTCAAAAAAAAAAGCATGTCGAAAAAGAAAAAATGCACAAAGCTGAAAGAAAAAGATAGTAACGGAGAAAGAAAGGCAAAAGTGGTCATTGAATCTAGCTGGCTCTTCCAAAACCCTGTCCTTAGTGGGAAGGCTGGAGCTGGAAGGGACAAGTGACCTCCTCAATTCTAGGGAAGTCAGCAATTAGGGGCAGACTTATGGGAAATCTACCACCAGGGAAGGGTGCGAAAGACAGGCGAGAAAGGAAAATAAAGTATATACTGGTGTTCCAAAAGTAATCATTTTGGCAAGCTGCTGCCTTTTTTAATTTTTTTCTTTGGCAGGAGTTAGAATGCAAAATGCAGATTCTACCTGTATAAAGCACACAAGATATGCTTGGGATCCGGTGATGCTGTACTGGAGATTTCAACCTGTTTTTGAAAGTGATTCCTAGGGAGTATGATAATTTCAACTCTTTTGGAAGTGACTTGTCAAACCATGAGCCATGCTAAGGTCGGCGCAAGCAGTATGAGGCAAGGTGAGGCAAGTGGGTGAGTGAAGAGAAAGCAGCCCAGATGAGCCTGCTAATGTACCCACTCAAAGTGAAGCATGATGAGGATTACTCTTCCTGGGAGGCATGGGGGCACTCTCTGGTAAGGTTCCTCTCATCACCAAAATGAGGTCACTATGGAAGTGAGGCTCCCAGACCTCAGAGGGCATAAAGCACGGTTGGTAACTTGTTAGAAATGCAGCAGCCCAGGTCCCACCGTTGGGGGCCAAGAAATCTGTAGTATTAACAAAAATTCCAGGAGATTCTGATACAGAGAATCCAAGGACCGTATTTAAGAACACTCTGATATCGTAGAGTATTACTCTTTCAAGTCAGGCAAATTCAGATAAGCATCCATTAGCAAGGTGCTTTGGGGCCCTCTCTGTCTCAGTTTCTCCATTTATGAAGTGAAAAAGAGTAAGACTCACTTCACAAGATTATTAAAATAATGAAACAAGAGAAAATGTACAAGAGCCTCCTACCTGGCACAGAAGAGTTACTCAAATGTCTACACCTTTCACCTTCACTGGCCTAATTTACATCATTCAGAAAGGAAATGGTTACGGTTATCTTGCTCTAGTAACTAGAGAAAAATCATCTGCTAAGCATATTAAAATATAAAATAGGTTGTAGGAGAAATATTTTACCTATGGATACAAGTAACTGTGCTGAACAATTTTGATACGTTCTTTACTTTTTAAAATAACGATCAGGTGTTTTTCTTGGCTCATTAATATGACTCCCTTAAGAAATTTTATTGGGTTATATTAGTGTGGGTCACTGTATAAACTTCAAAATTATATAAGATGACATCTTTAAATTCATATTTTCTCCTAATTCAGAGAGACCTTCTTAGTTAATTGGAATCAGCAAGCTTTCACTATAATTATCTTTTACTACCCTTGACTCTACCTAGGATCCCAGTGACCTCCATGAAAATTTGGAAAGAATCCCCGACTAGGTAAGCAGAGTCAGGGAAAATGGTTTCAATCTACACTCTGCTAATCATTTGTAAGATTCTGGCCGATCTTCAAATCCCTTCAAGAGCTTTGTACATAAAATAAGGGGCGTTTTTCATTCTCTCTTGATGCACATTCAAAGGTGCATTCACAACAATGTTCAGTGAAGCATTGTTGGTAGAAAGGAAAACTGGAAGCAACTGGAAGTTCTAAAAACCTGTGGGGTAGTCAACCTATAAAGCTAGGTTAAAAGCAATGAGCTATCTCTACAGGTAACAACAGAGACAGTCTTTAAAACACAATGTTCAGTACAATGGCACGCTGCAGAATGGCAGGCACAGCAGGAGACGGGTGTTCCACACACTCAAACACATGCATAGCTTTTCCCTTCCATGAACGTCCATGTCAAATGGATAACGGGGATATGTCCAATAGGGTAAGGAGGGGCAAGGATCAGAGGGACTCATTGAAGGAGACTTTAGCCTTATTTATAATTTTTTTTTAAGAACAGCATTTTCACATATCACTGAGGCAATAAAATATTAATTAATGGCCCCTTCACTGTTAACTGCACAAAACCAACCAGTCGAAAGGATATGGGGGTAACCAATTAGTATATGTTTCCTCTGAGGAAGCAGTCCATGGAATATTCCGGAAGATCCCAGTTCAACTGACACAACAAACTGTATATTATAACAAATAAAAAAATCTTTAATTTAAAGAGGGATTTATTCCTCTTTGCTGGCTAGTTGCTGAAAACCTTCATTTTAAAAAGCCACACCTTTTACAGGAGCCCCAAAGTGGGTTATGACCACAAATTAATATTTAAATAGTCAAAATCAAGAGACTCCCCTTGATTGCTTTTTAAAAAAGAAAAACTCAAAGATTTGTTTTAGGCCCATATGGTCATTAAATCTTAAAATCTAATAAATATGAATGCTGGAAAAACCTTATTACAATTTATAATTTATTTTAGCCCAAACGATTCAGATGGATTGAAAAACAGCTGGGAGGCCTAACAGAAAAGACTCAAAAGGTCACTGCTTGTCATGACAGAATGCTCTAAGACCCAGAAATCAAAGGAAAGCAGATAGCCTGTGTGTAACTGGTTAACTGCAGACATGTCCCTACCAGCCAGGCTATGGGAGGCAACATCATCCCACACTTCATGACATTCCAGTGGTTTTCCTCAGACAAGCAAACACTTTGTATGCCTTGTGGCAGCAGGAAGTTTGTGTTCTACAAATCATGTCACATATTACATATAAGGCATATGGGTAGAAATGGCACCTGTCTTAATGGGCTTGTCTGGTCCATTCAGGGTAAGGAAGGAGAGGTTTCAGAAGAAACAGAAGAAAGAATTTATGGATAGCAGCATCTGCTCTTAGGGCCTTAAAAGGCAGCAAATGTTACTTCTAAGGGATCCTGGAAAACTTTCACATGGAAGCGTACGTTCAAAGTGCAATCTGCAAGAGCAAGAAAAACTTGGGACCTGAATATCTAAAGTACCCTATTAAAATGGTGTCCCTTTGGAGAAAACAAATGGCAAATTTTTGCTAGTGACTGGGACCTGACCAACTAATGTAAAGAGGAGAAATCTGTTTTCCTGTAAATATCAAGGCCATGAACTATAACTAAATGGCAGAATGTCACACTTGGTGAAATTTTATAATGCCTGTACAGAAATAATTTATATGAAAAAATTAAAGCTATAACAGAATACACACCATTTGCAAAGAAAGGTTAGAAGGTTATGCGCGAAAACAGTATTTTCTTTGGCTCATGGGATTATACGTGGCTTTATTACCTATTTTTAGTATCTTTATACCAAGAAAAGCTTTATTGATTTATAAATACACACATACATATCCACAGATACCACAATAAACAAACTTCTCTACCAGTTTTTAAAGAAGACAAATGCAGCATGTTTCAGAACATTTTGTTGTGTTTTAAAATCTCTAGAGCATCACTGACCTCTATATCCTCCAAGAATTGCTTACTTTTCCCCAAAATGAATGCATACATATAGATTTTTTGTTTGTTTCTTTGTTTGTTTTTTTAAGATGGACTCTCACTGTATCACCAGGCTGGAGTGCAGTGGAGCAATCTCGCCTCACTACAACCTCCACCTCCCAGGTTCAAGCAATTCTCCTGCCTCAGTCTCCTGAGTAGCTGGGACTATAGGCGCATGCCACCATGCCTGGCTACTTTTTGTATTTTTAGTACAGACAGGGTTTCACCATGTTCAGGCTGGTCTTGAACTCCTGAATTGTGATCCACCCACCTTGGCCTCCCAAAGTGCAGGGATTAGAGGTGTGAGCCACCGTACCTGGCCACATATAGTTTTATTAAAGAACCTTAGTAGATTAGGACTTGTGCTTGTCCTAGTGATTAAATGGAAATATGGAAGAAGTAGGAGAGCTCAGTTGGGCTGTCAGGGAAACCAAGCAGAAGCCAAGCATTGCCATTTCAGCACTGAGACAAACAAAACCTGAGTTGCTGGGGAAGAGAATGCACCTCTCTGGACTTAATTTCTTCCATGTTTAAAGGAAGTGGGAATGCCAACCAACTTCACTAACAAAAGGAATCAAGAAAAACTGCACAAAGGGTTTTGAAAGGGTGAATCCTAAAGTGTCTGTCACATACAAAGTGGATCTACAAATAAGAAAAATGTACTATTTATGTCATCAACTTATATTTTTTTCATTGTGATATTCATTCCCCTCTGCATTTGGGTCTCCAGACTTCAGCATTTTTGTGGAAACATTTTGCTTTCCTCCTAAGCATTCCAA